ACCCCGGGTTCTAGTCCTGGTCGGGACGCTGGAGTCTGTCCTGGTTGCCCCTCTTCCAGTCTAGCTCTCTGCTGTGGCCCGGGAGTGCAGTGGAGGATGGCCCAAGTGCTTGGGCTCTGCACCTGCATGGGAGACCAGGAGAAGTACCTGGCTCCTGGCTTCGGATCAGCGCAGTGCGCTGGCCGCAGCAGCCATTGGAGGGTGAACCAATGGTAAAGGAAGACCTTTCTCTCTGTCTCTCTCTCTCTCCACTCAGCTTGTCAAAACACACACACACACACACAGAATTTATAATCCCCTTCCAGGGGCCATCATTGTGACGTAGCAGATAAAGACACCCTCTGCATCACCAATGTCCCATATGGGCATTGGTTCAAGACTCAACTTCCTTACTTCTGGTCCCCCACACCCCGCGCCTGCCACTAATGCTCCTGGGAAAGCAGCAGAGGATGGCCCAAGTCCTTGGGGTCCTGCCACCCACATGGTAGACTCGGAAGAAACTCCTGGCTCCAGATCAGCTCAGCTCTGGCTGTTGAGGCCATTTAGGGAGTGAACCAGCAGATGGAAGAGTTCTTTCTCTCTGTCTCTCCCTCTCTCTAACTCTACTTTTCAAATAAATAAATCTTCAAAAAATAACCCTAAAATTTAGTAGATTAAACAATAAACATTTATCATCTCAGACTTTCTGCTGTGGTTCTGGAATTTAGGAGCAGCTTATCTGGTGAGTTCTGGCCCAGCCTCTCTCATAAAGTTGTAGTCAAGGTGACAGCCACAGCTGCATTCATCTTGTGACAGTCCAGAAATAGGGACTTGACTCACAAAATCAAGCCCTTCCAGACCTGACCATGTATCCATCTGCAATCCGACCATCTATCCATTGCCCACCTGCAACCACAGACTGCTCCATCAACGCTCAGCCAATTGGGAATAAGAAACTCCTAACTTGTAGCTACAGAAGACCCTCTTAGCTCCATTAGGGACTTTCCCAACTTTTGTGTGGGCCCAGAACAGCCCAGTACAACTGAAGTACTGTAGTTGTACTGAAGTTGGGAAGTGTTTGGATGGGATTGAAATGACTAGGGTGGAACTTGTAAGATTAAGTCCTGATAGTTTTATATGATACCATATAGATAGATACTTTTGCCATGTGATAGTCTTTGCTGTGTTGGTACCACCAGAGACTGAACCAGTGGGGCCTGTCTTATCTTGGACTGTGACCCTATAAAATTTTATTTTTCTCTTTATAAGTTAGCAGTCTCACATATTTTGTTATAGTAAGTAATACAAAATAAGCTAATACACAGGTTCTGGAGATTATCAGGATGTGGCCATATTTTTTGGTGGGGGAACCATTCTGCTCACTAAACTAGCATTACTACTAATGAGTTGGGAAAAAAAGATCCTTAAGACAACTTCTCAAGTATGACTAAAGCTTTTGTTTCTTTAAAATTTACTCCAAATGATTAAGATAATCAAATGATTGTAAATGCCTTCTTAGAGACTCATGATTCTTCAAAGTGTGATGTAAAGTTGAGAAATATTACCCTTTTTAAGAAAATATTTTGTATATATAAACAAATCTATGTACTCAATGCCTATTAAGATTAATTTTTCCTATTTAATATATTTAAAAAATTTATTGGAGAAACAGAGAGAGAGGAAGGGGCAGGGGAGAGAGGGAGAGGGAGAGAGGAAGAGGGAGAGGGAGAGAGGAAGGGGCAGGGGAGAGAGGGAGAGAGAGAGAGAGAGAGAGAGAGAGATCGATCTTGCCCATCTGCTGGTTCTTTCAGACAGGGCTGGGTCAAGTGGAAGCTAGGAATTAAATCTGCGTGTCCCACATGGGTGGCAAAGACCAAACTACCTGAGCCATTAATTGCTGCCTTACAAGTAAGCTGGAATCAGGAGCACAGCCAGAAATTGAACTCAAGCACTCTGAAATGGGATGTGGAGATCTTAACTGTTGTGTCAAATGCCTATTTTGTTTTCTCCTTTTTAGAAGACATAATTCATAATAAAATCATGGGAACTTCAAAAATTAATGAAAAATGGAATTAAAAGATAATTTTATTTTGGTACAAAATAATTTTGAAATCCATGCATAGTTCTTTCCTAATATACATTTTTCTGCGAATTTTTTTCCTTGTTCATTTGATAGAGACAGTGAGAGAGAGAAAGTTCACTTCCCAAATATCCATAACAGCTTGTGGTGTGGTGTTGGCAGGCAAAGCCAGGAGTTAGAAAATCAGTCCAAGTATTTATGTGAGTGGTAGGAACCCATCACTTAGGACATCATGCTTCCTCCCAGGATCTGGAATCAGGGAGCTGGAATTAGTAGAGATGGGTATCAAACCCAGGTACTATAATGTGGGATGTGAGGGTCCTAACGGGTGGCTGAACTGGTAGGTCAAATGCCCACTTTGTGATGACCTTTGTAAGGAACCTTTGTCTAATTGAAGTACTCTGTTTTCTTCCTAATTATCCCATCTCTTGAGTAATTACAATCCTGAACTTAGTGTTTATGAAAGTTTTTTTTTTTTTGCAGTCCAGAGGTCTTTTATTATTATTTTTTTACACTTATTATGCCATGAATTCATAGGGAGTGGGTTCCAGCAGCTCAGGCTGGAACTAAAGCTGGCGCTTTAGTCAAACCCAGGTACCTTTCTCTTTGGCTTCCTTTTCTGATCATTTTCCTTTACATGTTTCAGGAAGCTATCTCAGCTCTTAGAGTGCTTAATATGTTTACACACATTTACACACATTTATTCTCTCAGCAAGAATCCTGCCCTTCACTTGTTTGTTTACAACAATGCCAACAGCCTGCTGGGTAACATTGCAGACTCTCCCAGTGGTGCCATGGTAACATTTAAGGGGCATTCCTTTTTGAACAGTACCTATTTCCTTGATGTCTACAATGTCACCATTATTGTAAATGCACATCTATGTGGCCAGAGGAACAACTACATGTTTTCTAAAAAATATTTTCTATTTAATCATTTATTTGAGAGGCACACACACAGAGAAAGAGTTCTCATCCACTGTTTGGAACCCCCAAATCCTGCAATGGCCAGGCCTAAGCTGTGAGCCAGGATCTTAACTCAGGTGTCCCATATGAGTAGCTGGGACCTAACCAACTTGAGCCATGTTGTCTTCCACGATGTGCATCAGGAAGAAGCCACAATGTAGAGCTGAGTTGGGATTCAAATGTAGGCACTCCCACTGGGGACACTGGTGTCCCAACCATCATGGCAATCACTAGGCCAAATGCCTTTCCCTCATTAAAATTTCAAAAACTAGTTGTAAATATATATGTAAGTATCACAGTATAATGCAGTTCTTGGAATGTAAATGTATTTACGTATCTATGACATGCTATACTTATTTGGTTACTTACGTTTTTCTTAATATTTTCAGGTTTATTAATGTTGACAAATATGTAACTTTGTTCAATGTTTTTCAGACTGTAGGTTAGAAATCATTAGTGACTGAAAATCACTTTAACAAGTCATGAGCTTAATGTATTCAAGTATTATTTTGTGAAAATCATTCTGCATACATACATATGAATATGTACTACTGTCAATATAACCAACTCTCTTTACAGGTTTTCTTCTCAAGATTTAAGATCTTACTAAGATATGGGAAAGGCTCTCTATTTGACATTTTTAAAAACATGAGCAATGAAACATTAATAAAAAGGAATTAAATTTATCTTCATTGCTTATAGAAGAGGGCACTATGGAAGACAAGGTTGAAAATTACTAATTTTTGATACTTCAGAACAACAACAACAAAAAAAACCAATGCCCAGATAATTTTCCCAAGTTAGGAATTCGGCAATTTTTTTGGGTTGGCTCCAAGACCAAAATGGGATACTAGAAAAACAACAAAAAAAACTCAGCATTCTATATATTGTTCAGATATCTTAATCACATATTTTCTGTTTATTTGAAATACCTGGCTAATTTCTCGATACAGTATTTTTATTTATTCAGTTGCTACACAATAAAACTAGGTCTTTTCTTTCTTCAGAAAAATGGTAAGACCCGGAGCTCAACCAAGAGCTCAGATTTAAGTAATTATGGAAACCACTCTCTTTATTAAGCCCTCTCAGTCATGGCTTCAACCTGTTTGCTTTTCAAGTGAAGCAGATAACTAAAAATTTATTTATTTGGTTAATTTACAAGGTCTTCATAAAACCCAAATTATTTGAGTTACTCATTAAGGCTTTTTCTTAGGAAACAGCTGCTCCGAATTAGCTGCTGCTTTTTTTGGGGGGGTGAAACATAGTTCATTATTTGCAGTAACAAATCTGGACACCTGAACGGCCTCACGTACGTCTTTTTTCTATTGTTACTAAAGCTCTTCCAAGAAGCTGTTTTTAATTCCAGGGAAGAGCTTTAGGCATTTCCCCACCCTCTAATAACCTTATAAAGAAAGTACTTTAAAAAAATTCGGTGGTAGCTGTCTTCTTCAGGGGTTACCAAAAATAAACTGGCCAAAAATTAAGCAGCACGTCCTACGCTACTGCTTTAAGCCATTTTCTGAACTGGGTGTTTTCAGTCCGGCTTCGTGAACTTACAGGCGACTAGAAGATAATATTTTACATAGCCTTCATCAAACCAACGCTGACCGCAGAACTGAACGCATTTCTTGTCAGCTATTTTCCCTGTGTCTGAGTGGCTCTGCTTCTCCACAGCCGTCTCTACCATTCCTCGCCCGCTGCCCATCAGCTACCTAGGGAATATTTCACCGCCGCTTCCCGAAAGCTAACACTCCACGAAGCTCGTCTACTCCTTTGGTTACAACCAAACATGCTCAAAAGCTGAACAGCCTAAGCCCGCGATTCTCCTTCAGCGCCCACACTCCCTCCGGCAAATAAACCTCGGATCTAATTTTAAGTCGGCCCCCTATCTTGCTCCTCCCACCTGCGGCCTACCGCCATGGCCCTCCCCACGGACCCGAGGTCCTCTTCCCGGTCCGTCCATTTCTCGGAACAATAAGCTCTTTTTCAGCGTTAAGGACCAGGAACCCAGCCTGGCCCGTCCGCCAGCTCTGGAAGCACGGCGTGCGCTCAGGCCTCGCCACCCGCGGTCACCCTCTGGCCGGAACGCCACTTCCGGATCACTGGTGTCTCCACTTTACCGGTCCGCTGCCACCCCACCTCCGCCCCGGCACTTCCTAGAGCTTCGCCCTAGCCACTGGCCTGGTCGAAGCCGGGGCCGACGCTAGAGGAGCGCCAAGAGCTCTGCGGGAGAACGCATCAAGTGTCTTCTCCAGCGTGAGGGACCTCTATGGGCTGCGAAGGCACGGAGCGGTGGCGGTGGAGGGACAGTTTGTTCTGAGTTCCGAGCGGAGCACACCCGGAAGTGGCGCGGTACGGGAGCGGTGCGGCCGCCGGGGGGGCGGGTGCCAGGTATGAGGTAGGGGAGAGGAGACGCCACGGTACTCTTTGGCGTGGGTGTCAGCGCAGAGTGGAGTGTGGTGGCAGGGTGGAGTGTGGAAACGGGCCTGGCTCTAGCTGCAGCGCTGCTTCTACTGTGGTAGATCCGTCCAGGTTCCGGGAGGCGAGGGCCTGGCTGGGCGGCTGCAGCACCCGCACGGGAGCCCAGCGCTCACCCACTCCGGGGGACCTGCTCGCTTCAGGTCACCGCTGCTTCCTCCTGACCCTCTCCAGGCAAGAAGTCGTGGCTGGAGCTGGGAGACCGCTGGAGTGTTCCGTGCCGCCTCTTTGGTGGGGTCTGTTGCTTTTCCGCCTCTCCAAACGCTCCTGAGAAATACTTTTTCCTTCGCCGCACTGCTGACTCCTTGATGTTTCTGTCTATCCCTTTCAGCTTCTGACGTTGGCTCCTAGCGTTAAAATATGCTGGAGTCCTATGTAACTCCAATTTTAATGAGCTATGTGAATCGCTACATCAAGAACTTAAAGCCTTCCGATCTGCAGCTTTCACTATGGGGTGGAGACGTGGTTCTGAGCAAGCTCGAGTTAAAGTTGGATGTCCTGGAACAGGTAAGCTGGGTAGCTGGCGTGGACTGGAAACATTTTTTAATATGCTAGGATGTAATCCATTTCCTTGTCTTTGATTTCTGTGTTACAATATGGTAATTTTTTTCTGCTGTCTTTTGGGCTACACTGCAGCTAGAGACCTTGTTTTACAGAATTTTAAGAGAAGGCTTATTATAGTAGACGTCGAAAAAGTTGCTTGGACTGAAAGGAAAACAATTTCATTGTTCTTGTCGGAATTGTTACCCTGTCCTCAAATCTCAAGCATTACCGAATATGCTAAAGGTACATTGTCCAAATTCTGTATGAAGTTGAAAATAATACATCTTCCTTTGTGGACAGTGTGAGGAAGGGTATGAAAGAGAGCAAGGTCAGCTCTTGAGGGACGTTCTCTCTCTCTCAGAAGGAAAGATGACATTAGCTGTGGCATCCCCACAGTGTTGAATAGACACAGATTGAGAATGGCAGTACAAGTGGACGTTTCTCTAACTGCTGCTTTTTAGTTTCTTTCATTTAACATGAGAATAGTCCGATGTAGATGAACTGTTACTTCAAAGTTCACATGTTCATTCATTTAGTACTTTTATTAGTAACATATGTTAAGCAATTCTAGCAGTATTGAGGATGGGAAATATCTGTGGAAGCTCAGAAGTCAGACTTTTTAGAAGATAAAGTGGTGGCTTAATCTGAAGGTCATTGTTATCAGTAATCTTTAGTTATATTCCCCTGCCTCTTCTAGTTAACACTAGGAAATAATACTCTTAGCGCCTTCTCCTTTCTCTCCCAAGGTTAATTGGATGCCTTAGTATTTTCATTTTACTGTAAGTGAACATAAATCCTAAGAGTAGCAATGCAACTTGTAAATATGTGTACACCTGTGCAACTACTAGCCAGCTCAAGAGAGACTATTCCTTAAAAGATTCTCATTGTAATTAGTACTCCTCAGTGGTAAAAAGAGAGGACTACTAATCTGACTTCTGTCAGTATAAACTTTACTTGTTCTTGAGCCTCTAATAAATTGGAATCATTTGTGTAGTTTCTACCACTTGCTTGGCTAGCAATCGGCTAAGATTAACCTGTATTGTTGGATGAACAGTTTGTTTTTTGCATTGCCTTGTATAAAGAGTCCACAATTCAGGTCAAGCTGCCACATAGTATGTCGACATCTTGTGTCAGAGTAGTATGGCACAGCAGGTTAGACTGCCACATAGTATGTCCACATCTCGTATCAGAGGATCAGTTCAGGTCCTGGCCACTTTGCTTCTGATCCAATGTCCTGCTGATGTGCCTTTTTTGGAGGCAGCTCATGATGGCCTAGGTACTTTGGTTTCCTTCACCTGTGTGGGAGACCCAGGTGAAGCTCCTGGCTTCAGTCTGGCCCATCCTGGGTATTGTGGGCATTTGGGGAGTGGATCGGTAGATGGAAGATCTCTCTTCTCTGTTTCTCCCTCTGTCACTTTGCCTTTCAAGTGCAAATAAATTAATCTTTTAAAAAAAATCCACGATTTACTTATCTATTCTCCTATTAATGGATATTGAGTTATTTATACAGTACATGATGGTTCAGGTACTTGGGTCCCTGCCTTCCACATGGGAGACCTGGGTGGAGTTCTGGACTCCTGGTTTCAGTCTGGCCCAGCCTGGCTATTGTGGGCACTCTGATATGCGATGCAAGTGTCCCAAGTGGTGACTGAACTGCTGTGCCACAAGTGCCACACACCCACCCCTGGTAGTACCTATTAAAGCTAAACATGCCTACCTCCTAGATACCTAGCTAAGGGAAAATAATATTGATGTCCATCAAAATTCATGTACAAGAATGTTTGTAGAAGCTTGCTTCATTACAGCTAGAAGTGTGAACAACCTTGGGAGTGGGTGTTTAGCCTAGCAGTTGAGAAGCCAGTATCCTATATTGGATGTTGTGGGCATGTGGAGAGTGAACCAGCAGATGGAAGGTTACTCTCTGCGACTCCCTCTTCCTCCCAAATAACATGAAGAAAATAATAAAATAAAAGATAGTGATGAAGTAGTTGTCTTAAGTGGCTATGCCAGTTTACAAGTTTACCAACACAATGTGTGAGTTCCAGTCATTCCATGTTTTTGCTACTTCTTGGTATGTTTGTTATTTTAGCCTTTCTGCATAGTGTGTTGTGATATCTCATTTCAGTTTGCATTTCCTTAATGACTAATGAAACTGAATATTTTTTCATAGGATTATTGGTTAAATTTTTATTTATTTGAGGGGTAGAGTTACATACAGAGAGAGAGAAAGAGAGAGAGAGGTGTTCCATCTGCTTGTTCACTCCTTAAATGACTGTATCTGGAGCTGGGCAGATATGAAGCCAGGAGCTTCTTCCAGGTCTCCTACGCGGGTGCAGGGGCTCAAGCACTTGGGCCATCTTCCGATCCAACTCTCTGCTATGGCCTGGGAAAGCAATGGAAGAGGAGCAGCCAGGACACAAACCAGCGCCCATATGAGATGCCTGCTCTGCAGGCGGTGGCTTAGCTTACTTTGCCACAGTACCAGCCCCTGTTACTTTTCTTAAGTCTTGCCTTTTTTTTTTTTTCTTTAAAGATCTATTTATTTGAGAGGCAGAATTACAGGGAGAGATAGATCTTCCATCCACTGGTTAACTCCCCACATGGCCTTAGCAGCCACAGCTCGTGCAAGAAATTGGATTTTTCTGTCTTTCCTATTGATGTGTTGGGATTCTTTGCCAAGATTATGGCTTCTCTCTCAGTTAATGGCTTATCTTTTTACTTTCTCCAAAGTATCCTGATGACAGAAGTTTGTGATTTTATTGAGGTAGAGTTTGTCAATCTTGTAACTAGGGCTTTTCATGTAGTACATAAGGAATCTGGCTTTCTAACTTGTCTAACACATTTTGGTAGATTCCTTTGGGTTGCCTGTATACACACTCATGCCATCTACAAATAATGACAGTTTTATATCTTTCTATACAATACTTGTACCTTTAATTTCTTTTTCTTTCATTATTGGCACCAGCAAGGGTCTCATATCATTTGGAGTGGAGGTCATGAGAATAAATTTTGTTGATATTGTCTCCACCTTTGGTGGGAAAGTGATTGTATTTTATAAGGAGGTATGTTAGTTGTAAATGCTCTTTATTGGGTTAAGGAATTTCTCTTGATTTTTCCAGTGAGTTTATAAAATCACTGATGGGTGTTGAATTTTACCACATGAGTCTTTTAATGGTTACCTAATTTAAAGAAAATTGTTAATATGGTAAATTATACTGATTGAGTTTTTTAAAAGATTGATTTATTTATTCGAGAGGCAGAGTTAGAGGCAGAGAGAGAGGTCTTCCATCCACTGGTTTACTCTTCAGCTGGCTGGGATGACTGGAACTGGGCAGATTTGAAGCCAGGAGCCAGGAGCTTCTGGGTCTCCCACGTGGGTGCAGGGGCCCAGATTTGGGCCATCTGCTTTCCCAGGCACATTAGCAGGGAACAAGATTGGAAGTGGAGCACCCAGGACTTAAACTGGCTCCCATATGGGATGCCACAGTGTGGGCCCCGAGGTGGTTTTTATTTTTATTTTTTCTAAATTTATTTGAGAGGTAGAGTTACAGCCAGAGAGAGGGAGAGACAGAGAGAAAGGTCTTCCTTCCACTGGTTCACTTCCCAAATGGCTGCAATGGCTGGAGCTGGGCTGATCTGAAGCCAGGAGCCAGGAGCTTCTTCTGGGTGCAGGGGCCCAAGCACTGGTCCATTTTCCACTGCTTTCCTAGGCCATAAGCAGAGAGCTGGATCAGAAGAGGAGCATCCAGGACATGAACTGGTGCCCATATGGGATGCTCGTGTCACGGGCGGAAGCTCAATCTTCTTTGCCACAGCGCCAACCCCACCAATTCAGTTTTTTAAAAAAAGATTTATTGGGCCAGAGCTGTGGCATGATGTTATTAAGCACCGCCTGTAGTGCAGGCATCCCGTATGGGTGCCTGTTCAAGTCCCGGCCGTTCCACTTCTGGTCCAGCTCCCTGCTAAAGCACCTGAGAGCAACAGAAGATGGCTCAAGTCCTTGGGTTTCTGCATCCACGTGGGAAACCAGGATGAAGCTCCTGGCTCCTGGCTTTGGCCTGGCCCAGCCCTGGAGGTTGCAGCCATTTGGGGAGTGAACCAGTGGATGAAATATTTCTGTTTTTCCATCCCCGCCCCCCCCCGCCCCGATTTAACTGCCTTTCAAATAAATAAATAGAGTGAGAAAGAGTTATAGATGTCTTCCATCTGCTGGTTCTCTCCAGATGGTTGCAGTAGCCAGGACTGGGCCAGGAGAAGAACTCCATCTGGGTCTCTCATGTGGGAGGCAGGTATCCATGTATTTGAGCCAATATCTCTTGCCTCCCAGATGCATTAGCAGGGAACTGAATGGGAAGCAGAGTTTGCTGGGACTTGACTTGGTGCTATAATTGCGTCTAGCAGCTCCTTAACTTGTGCTGCAGTGTCTACCCTTAATTGAGTTTTTAAAGATTGATTTATTTATTTGAAAGAGTTACAGAGAGAGGGAGAGAAAGAGATCGCTCTTCCATCCACTGGTTCACTCCTCAGATAGCTGTGATGGTCAGGGCTGGGCCAGGCTGAAACCAGGAAGCAGGAGTTAATCAGGGAATTTTTCCCAGGCCATTAGCAGGGAAATGGGTCAGATGTGGAACAACCAGGACATCAGCAGGCGCCCATAAGGGATGCTGGCCTTGCAGGTGGTGGCTTTACCTGCTCTGACATAACCCTGGCCCCCTAATTGAGTTTTTAAACATTTGCCTTGCATTCTGAAGTAAATCACAGTTGGTTATTTTAAAATTATTTTTATATGTTATTAGGTTTATTAATTTTGTATGCTTCTAAGTGTTATCTGCATGTGATTTTCTTTTTTTTGTAATGTCCTTGTCAGGCTTTGAGATGTACTTGCCTCATGAAATTATTTGTGAAGTATTTCCTCATTTTATAATTCTTGGAAGAGTGTATATGATTGATATTGCTAGTTTTTT